TACACCCCCGACACGTTGCAGTAACGCCTTTCATTTACGGCGCGTCCCCGTCACGGAGGACAATTGCGTCACGGCGTCACGGCCCAGCCGTCACGTCACGTTGGGTAAGCAAACCCGCAATACTGCTGGGCATTCACAGTTACACCCGGTACATCTGCCCCATGTCGGTCAGCACTTACCTATTTAAAATATCAGGGATTTCATTGTCTATCACGCTGAACCGTCAGCACTATCATTTATTTAGCATTCAGCTGGGATCGGCTGGGATCGCAAACTGAGTTTTTGGTTCACGTGCATGAGGCCGTACATGGATAGCGAACATATTTAATGCACCGTTCCCGGCTGGTGTGGTCAGAAGCCCCCAACTCCACAGGCAGGGCTGGCGCGCCGCTGGTGCTCGCAGAGGGCATTAATGTGGTAAATGAGATGAACTAGAGTTGCGCCGTACAAGTTGAGCAGCGATTACTTGTCTGAAATATGCAAAAGACTGCGGTACTCGACCTTGCAACACGTGGGGCCTGCTGCGTGCGTGCGTGTGCGTGTGTGTGTGTGTGTGGGGGGGGGGGGGGGGGGGGAGGAGGGGTGTAGGGATTCATACACGGCTTTCTCCCTCGCACACCGTCATTCAAGGAATGTGACGTCACATTCGTTTAAATGCGAATCGTGTCACATTCCTTCGAATATTGTGTCACATTCGTTTGAACGTGAATCGATGCTCAAATGGCGCCAGTCTAACCTGATTACTATTTTCTTTTTCTTTACTTAAGTAAATATTAGTTAATACCGCGGTTAATACACATTCACTGATAAAGTGTGCAACTGCAATGCAAGTCCGCAGTCGTACACTTGCAAGTGTTCATGTTCCACTCAGTAGGTGTGCACTTGAAAGTGTGCAACTCGTCCGTTGAGTACCTTCTTCACCTTTCCAGACAGTGATCGTTCAATTTAAAGAAGTGCTCATCTGTGGAGTTGCACACTTGAAAGTGAACAACAACGGAGTTGCACACTTAAAAGTATAAAACGTTTGAGTTGAGTTAACTCGCAGTTGCACTCTTGTAAGTATTCAATTTGCAGTCGCATACCTACAAGTGTTAAGCAGTTGCACACTTAGTTTACCAGTGTATGAAATGAAAATATCTCCCCTGCACGCGTGCTCGACGACAAAGGGGTCGCAAAACACAGGCGCTGCGCCATAACAGGTGACACTGCGTTATGACGGCACGTAGCTGGCGGCGGCTGGCTGGCGCTGGGTACGGGCACCGGTAGTAAAAAAAAAAAAGAAAAAAAAGGAGGGTGTGGAAGGGGGCCTCTCGGGTTAGGTTAGCTTGTTGACGCTCGTGTTGACGCACACTGGGTCTCCCTCTTCACAACCCCCGGCCTCGGCCCGCGGTTCGGCTAACGGTTCGTCCGTCTCAGCCTGCGGTTAGGCTTGCGTCTCGCTTGGAACCCATACACCAATACCACCGTCCATAGCGAAGCAGTCTTGAGGGGCGGGAGGGGAGGTGGGGAGGTAAGTGACGGTAAAGACGCTTTTGTTCGAGGCTATTTATTATTTTTCTCTCAACCACCGTACGAACATACTACGATATGACTTTCACATACATAGTTAATTAACATTATAATAGTAAAATATACACATGTACAATATTCTCGAGGAGTGCGTTCTCGAGTCTTAATGAATATCAGGCTTGATTGTAGTCAGAATTGAAGGAAAAACACCGATAAACGCCTACTAGGTGTAAATAATAATAATAATGGAAAAAAAAAACCGCTGTCCAGGGAAAGAAAATTTGTTAGGAATCATATAATGCGTGCCCACAATCAATTTAAGTTATGCGACAGCAACGAAAAGAAAATTAGATGTAACTTATAAGTAACGTAACAATAAGGAACAATTAGGCGCGGCTTCATTCAATAATCTCGCCGCACGAGTATGATACAGGAATGTACACTCTACTCATAACAGTCATTGAATATACAGTTATCAACACAAATACTGTTCAACTAAGAAAAGTACAAAGAAACATCAATAGATTTCAAATTTGTTTTTCAAACGTGATTTTTTTACACTTGTGTTATTTCATGCCTTAAAGAAAAATCCACAAAGTGCAAATGTGCAACACTAATAATTGTATAAGAATTAACAAGTGTGGCAGGATTTGATATCGTATCACAATGTTTGCAGTGCTGTTTTAAATAGTCAACGTGCATTTAACGTTACAGCTAAAAATGTGCTCTTAACATTAATATAAAAAGATCTTTTATGAAAAAGATTTTTTGGTGGTGTGACTTGTGTGTTTAGTGTGCAATGTATAGTTACTCTCAATATAATGGTATGGTGATTTTGTGCAAGAGGTTTTGTCTCTACTAAAGGATTCCCAACAAAAACAGAAGCAAAGTTTTAAATGAAAGAAAAAAGCATGAGTGGTTCGAATCTTTTCACAAATTTATAATTGATAAGAAAGACTACAGTTCGCCTGATTTTCTGAGAGTTGAGTTTCAGCTTTACTTAACTGGGGGATGCTCATTCTTTTAGGTCAAAATGTGTGTACTGGGAGTAAAACCTTCTACAGTTAGATAAAACACAAAGCCAGAGAAACGAAGCACAGAGAAAAGGGCCAACCTGCTTTGAGAATTTTAACCGAATCTCTTTCATCATTGCACGATGTAATGAGACTTTGAATTAGTCCGCTGGACTTGTTTTGCGAATTCTCTTGTTTTATTTAGTATAACGGGGTAAGAAAAATATTTTCAGTAAATACAACCACCGAATCAACAATTTGGCCTGCTAAAGTCTCCTACCTAATATCTTTGTCGCAGTCTCTTCATTAGTTTTAATAAACCATTTCGGTTGTTTTTAGGCCTTAGCAATTTTTGACTTTTCCATACATCAAGTACTTAAAAAGGATCGCATTTGCAGTCGCACACATCTTTCAGGAACAGATTTGTACCAAATACATGGGTAAATTGGTCTTTCGAGGGCTGGTGATGTGACCACCATGCGCGAGCACGGCAGGCGAGCGGACGTGTAGAGAAAGCCTCTTTCACGCAATGGTAGCACGCCTAAAATGTTGTTTCTGACCTATTGCTAGAATTTTTCCGATGAAAATAAAATAATAAGCCAACAAGTTGTCTGTCAAACCACGTTCTAGGTTGGATTTATCAGCAATAACATGCTTAACCACGCTACTCACCATATCGGCATATAATGCGTTAGAGCACTTACACTTTAAATCTCTCTTTTTTACTATTATGATTTTTTTTAGCTCAGTATAGGTGCAAGTAGTCACGGATACTGGGTGTATCAGAGTGTACGATGCAGTGTTGCGGGACTGCATACCATCTTGAGCGGCAGGGGCCGACTTATTCCGGGCGGAGGGAAAGCGTCCGCTCTGATACACCCGGTACCGGTACAGGCCTCCGTTTGCATTCGTAGTACTTGAACCGTTAAAGGCTTTTAAAAGGCTAATTGTATAATATAAAAGCGTATATACGCCGAGTACGGATTGAACTGCTAGCAGTATGAAAATGGACTATCAGAGATGTTTTTGCTCTCTCTTTCGCCTTTCTTTAAAAATTAATCTGTGGTAAGGCAAATGATCTTTCAATCGCAAATGCTGTAACCAACTCCAAAAGATGCATCAAAATTAATCATGCGCCCTCTTTTAAAAATATTTTTTTATTTCGAAAATCAGGTCCCTTTTATAAATGTTTCTGCTAGGTCGTCGTTAGGTCGATACTTCAGGCCACATTCCACCCTCGCGTTCTGTCACCCATCGGCCGTTTTAACATGCTGCCACGAGTGTTTGCAATCAGGTCTGTTTTCAGATATCTCCACCAGTAAAATGCACATGAAAAGTCTCTTGTGCCCTCAGTCCCAATGTACTCCAAAACGAGGCGGATGACCATAAAATTCGAAATACTTTAAGGATTTGGAATAGGATTTTGGTGAGATTTTCTAAGTAGTCTTTTTACTACACTGTCAATAAAGACACACGGTGGCTCAGGATGACAAAGGTGTCATCTTCCGGGTGTCTTTCTTGAGAATCTATATAGAGCAGGGAGAGTGTTTTAGAATTATTATTGACGATTTCATCCGATTCGCATTTAGAGTCCAGCCTCCGGAGACAAAGAACTCAAAACAGATTTCATATGCCCTCCAAACGTCGCATACATGATATAATTGTTCTTCACATTTATTGGAATATAAAGCCTTCATGATAAAGCCAATATCCGCAGTCCCAAAACAACTCAAATAAAATATTGTAAAATATATGTAGCAGATATAACACACTCAAACTATAGACTAAGGACTAATTTAGGGTTAAATTTAACATCAAACACACCACACATAACTATCATGCTGGAATCAGATAGGGCAAGCTGATTCCAATTTTCTATGCAAGCACGAGTGGCTAACGCTACGAATACTAAAACTAAGTATAT